CAATTGTCAATGCTAATTGTCAATTGTCAACGCTAACTGTCAATGGTCAACGCTAACTGTCAATTGTCAATGCTAACTGTCAATTGTCAACGCTATCTGTCAATTGTCAAAACGTTAACTGTCAATGAAAATTTGTGGTAAGCATGAGCCGTCTGGGCTTCCGTAATACTACCTCAGAGAAGATTCACCGCAACTCTCCGAAATACTCCGCATGGTGAAATGTTTTACATTTTCCCATTGCTTATGATGGAAACGGCATATGATTGGATTAGGTGCAAAACTTTGACAGCTAAATGACACGCACGGAGACTATTATGGGCCGGCAAACCGAATGTAGTGACTGTTTCGGCCTGAGGGCCGAAACAAAAATTGGAAATCTGCACTGGTATTTCATTTTTTGCACTAGTATTTCAGTTGAACTGCACTGCTGTCAGCCAATCAGAATTTAGAAATTTTTTAATGTATATTTATCCGTGAAACACTAATTACTAAATATTACAAAATAGAAATGTGCATGAAATTGTGCTATTTAGTATTACTAAAGTTTCACGGATTTACTGTGGTCACTCTAACATGAAAATACACAAACTGTGCCGCTAACGACAATTTTAGCTTTTCCATATAAAAACTGATTGCTTTTTTACTTATTACTGTTAAGCAGAAAATGTTTGACTAAATCTGTGCCTATGACCGCGAGAAATGTTAACCTAGCCTCAATAAATACTATCCTTCGTGAAGGTTGAAATGTCAAAAACATGAATTTTAGGTAGGGGCGGCCTGGAACCGAGGCTGTTGCTATGATATCTTATCTAAAGTGTATGTATATATGCATGCCTGTGCGTCGACTGCCTTCACTAGGGAACCATCCCTCACCATAATGAAATAATGAAACGTTCCATGTCCTCCATGGCAGAAAGAACGGGTTCTACTTTCGACGTTTATGCGTTAATAAGCTTTATATTTCCTAAACAGGCACAAAAACTAACATTTTCGCTAATACCTCGAAGTAGAATTGCTCGAGGTTAGCAGAATTTTGTGAAACGTTTAAAGCACAAGAGACACGAATGAAACACTATACGTTTTTTAGTATAAATGAGAGAGGAAAAAAAATTGCGAAGATGGTCTAGATGGTCAGAACTAAGTCAGTTTTGCATAAAAAGTTATCAAAGCTTTCTATTTCCTTGGTAATAAAAGATACTCTATATGTTTGCAATTTTATTTCAGAGTTAGAATCTATCAGTCTTTTGATCTTGTTTTTGTAATTTGTGAAAATTAATTCTTATTAAATTTAGGTGAACTGGTAACTTCGGCTAGGGTATTTTATCACTCGTGAAAATGGTTTTTAAAAGTGGTCCAATTCAAATCATGACCAGAAGCATTGAGAACGACAATGATCCTTTGATACATGAAAACTCATCTTACCTGCCTTGGGAAAAGAAGCCACAAAGACTTCGTCGCCTTTAACAGGCAGATTTTTGAGATCCCTTAGAAATTCTCTCGTTGTGTACGGAAGATATATGATGCCATCTATTACAGGGTGTGTAGCAGGATATTGGTATTTTGATCGTTTCTTCGTTTTGTCTGTCACTACGGTTAAACTAGTCATGGCCGACCTGGAATAAATAACAATTCTACCACTGATTGCCTTGAATTTAGTTTGCAATGTGCTCGAAGATGCGGTCTTCTCCTTACGACACGACCTGACTCGCCTCGACTAGTCGTCTTTCACTTGTTTTCATTAAAGCCCGCAAAGGGTCAACGCACCGCCGGTATATTAAAGAGAATACTGGGGACGAGTCAGCGACACGACTGAGCTAGCCCAACCTTAAGTATTAATATTAAGCAATTATTTACCGAAGGCGAAGTAATTGCCAAACCGCGAGAACTATTCACTAGAACATGAATATTGTGCACAAAATCGAGGCTTATCCTGAGAAAATTATTCTGCAGTCAAAGAACACAGTGGTAGTTTACGAATTCGAAAAAGTCTAGCCTGAGAAAACAGAGACGTCATTTTGCTACCCCGTGCCCCCGCAAAACCAAAGCGAGTATGTTACTCTCAAGGGGGAACGAGGGTGCGAAGGGAAGTCTGTTTTATCAGGCTATCAAAAAGATTGTTTACGCATGCACACTTGTAAATAAACGTGGCGCAATGTTGAAGACACATACTAGTAGTAATACATGAAAATTTGGTGAAATACTTTAACAGTGTAATTTACTACGTAAACGACTTTTTAAGTTTGTAAATTTTCTACTGATAAACGGTGACTTTATTTCGTGGATTATCTACTTTTCTTATTGACGAAATTTGGGTCAACATATAGTATGACTTGCAAAAAATAAACTAACAATAAACATATTATAATATTAACATAACATTATATTTACTATGCAATAAACTAAATCTATATTTTAGCGCGCAAAGTAATAACATGATGATGATGATGCTGTTCAGTGATGATGATGATGATGCTAATGATGATGATGATCAGAGGATGTCTTTTTAGATAAAACAATAAACCTTATGTCCGATTGTTCCAAATCTCAAAACTGTTGGCCATCCTTCGCAGATCAACCAAATATTCTTCTTAAGTACGTGACAAAAAACACTGAACTCATTAAAGCTGCTGAAATCAGTAATTGGTATTATAAAAGCTATGGAATAACTCATTTTATTATCTTGCTTATCAATCTCTCTACCTCATAAATTTTTTCTTCTGTCCTTATTTCACTAATAGCAATATATTTTCTGTTAATAAACTGTTTAGCACGGCAATAGAAACATTGTTCTCTCATTGTATCTCGCTTGCAGCTCGCTGTTTTAAATCCTTATACAGATCTCCCGCTCATATTATATATATTACTTCTAAACCACTTCCAGCCATTTTCCTTTCAAACAGCTCGTCATATCGTTGATTCTGTTCCTCGKTGAAGTAGTTTTTCCAGTCTCCTACCTCACCCTTACGTAGGAATCTCGTTGATCCTGGTTTCCTTTCGAACTGATTCKGCTTTTCATCRTCGTGAAAATGTTTAAATTTTGACATGGCGTCAAARGTRGTTTGTTTTGCAATCAGTTGAATGGTTTGTTCAGACAATTCCTTCTCAAGGAACTTTGCTATTTGAGTTACAGCAGAAGGAAGGTCCTGGAAAAAACAATAATATTGGTAATGATGATGATGATAATGATCATTATCATTAGGATCCCAATCACAATCACCGTCATCATCATCATAACAATAGCACCGTTATTTTTAGCAGGACCTCTCTGAAAAACACCTTGGTGATGTGATCCTCCTGCTTAAACATTGTTGTTGTTGTTATTATCATTATGATGATGATGATGATGATGATGATGATGATGATGATGATGATGATGATGATGATGTGCAGTACTAAAACGCACAGCGTAAACTATACAGTCTAAAAGGAAACTAACTACAATAAATTTAAATAGATGTCCCTATAAAATCATTGTCTTTAAAATGGTTCGGAATATACACACATATATACAATCAGTTACAATAAATTTCTAGCAACAACAAAAACAAAAAAACCCTCTATATTCTATAAATCTGTAACAGTATCTAAGAGTATTAAAAAAAAAGTTCGAGCTTGCATAACAGTTGCTTTAAATGTTCGTGCTATATGGAGCGAGTAAGAGATGATGGCTTTCTGCATCTTCTCCAAAACACACTTTGATTATTATTTTATTATTATTATTATTATTATTATTATTATCATCATCATCACCATCGACATCATGTCGTAACATCATTATCACCTTCATCACCGTCATCATCATTAACACCATATTTTCGCCGTCATTATCATGCCATCGTGATCATGATATCATCATGAGATTATCATATCATCACGAAACCTTTTCCATTGAACGTTTTCCATTGCGCCAAAATAGACCTAACAAATTTACATTGTATTTTCACGGTGCGTGTAACGCCTAAATAGCAACAGGATTCAAATACATACCTTTTTCAAGTCTTCGTATTTCAAGATCAGAATGTTGGGGTCGTATCGATGAGCCCACCAGCCAAGCACGTGGTCAAACCAAGAACCAAATACAACTGTTCATGACAGTGGGGTAAAAGTTTTTTTTAATCCCATTTATTAAAATAATAAGTTTGATAAAGGACATATTTAGGGATTGCGTGGGACCTCACTAATAGTTCCCTTCACAGTTCCCAGCGCCATCTTGAAAGGTGGTCGTGCCTTTGCATCGAAGCGAGACGAACGGTGAGCTTGCAATGATAGAGACCTTTTGTAACACCTTGGACAATATTCACATGTCTCTATCATTGCAAGCTCACCGTTCGTCTCACTTCGATGCAAAGGCAAGGCCACCTTTCAAGATGGCGCAGGGAACTGTGAAGAGGACTATTCCATTTCCGAACCCAGTCCCAACTATGTACCATTTTTTACCGTGATGGTACCATGTCGCAGGCTTCATGTTAATTGGTTGAACAGTAACATAGCGCGTTGTAATTGGTTGGCTGGATGAATACATGTTATCAATTCGATAACGCGATATGCCTTTCACAGTCGTACTCAGAATCGACAAACATGATGTTTGTCCAAAGAATAAGTGATTTAGCTATAGAACATGTGCATTTTACGTCATAGCCGCCATGTTGGTTGCCAATAACAATGCATTCCTCATTAGCTTCTATTGTTAGATCAACCAAGATGGCGGCTGTTTCATTGTTATTCATATCTTAAGGGATTTTGAGTCACATGATTGCACACACTGTATAGAGACATTTTTGAAGACATTTAAAAAATATTTGCAACACTTTCTCTTAAAGATTACACCAAGTCTTCTTGCAATGATAGTCTTCATACACTTCTCAAAACCTTTTTATTTCTTTTGGCATAAAAAAGTATCGTTACGTTAGTTACYTTCACCGTCGATGAACGTCTCAAAATACTCGTCCCATTCTCCATCAAATTCATTGGATTTTAAGGCTTTTGCTTGGTGATAAAAAGACACAGCACAGTCTTTAGGGTTTCGTATGACGTTAATGAACTTAGGTCTCGTGACACCATCTCCCATCGGTACCAGAGGATATTGTAAATGAGTCTTGAACACTCGTGGAAAAGGCTTGTCTGAGAAGAACTCGGCCAACTGTTCCGTGGTGGTGGCTGTACCAAACGTTTTGAGAGATTCCAAGAACAGTACACGATGATGGATGGGCCGGTAATCGATATCTCCATCCATGAAAATCTGCCATACTATTTCAGACACCCACGTATAGCCTGCGTTATTTGAAAGAATATTATTTGTTTCAGTTTCTCGGTCGATCTCTCTTCATCCCCCCTCTGATAACATTTTAAAGCGTGGACCAAATCAGGAGAAGAGATATTTATAGTTGTTTTACTTATCTTACCTGCTTTGGGATAGGAAGCCACAAAGACTTCGTCGCCTTTAACAGGCAGATTTTTGAGGTCCCTCAGAAACTCTCTCGTTGTGTTCGGAAGATATCTGTTGCCATCTATTACAGGGTATGTAGCAGGATATTGGTGCTTTGGTCGTTTCTTCGTTTTGTCTGTTACAACTGGTGAACTAGCCATAACTGGGCTAAAGATGAACTTGAATAAATATGAATTATACCACTGAATGTCTTGAATTTTGTTTACACTGTTATCGAAGATGTCGCCTCCTTGTTCAATCTGACCTCGTGACACAGCAGCTAACGCAACCCTGAGTATCAATGTCGATAATGCAGTGTGCACAGAAAGCCCAAGCTAGTTACTCTTGTCATAAGAAAAAAAACAACAATGTATGTGGATTTGTATACACTGAACTCAGGGACGTAGGCTTAGGCGGATGGAGATAGGGCCACCCCCCTTCGTGGCAACAAAATGACGGCTTTTTAAAATTTATTGGCCTATTCGGGTGGCGGGCTTAGAAATTGTAAAAGGTTTAGCCAATGTATTAGAGATAAAAAAAACAAACAAGCAAACAAACAAAAAACAAAGGGTCAATATAGTTTCCTGGAGTTTCCTATATGTTATATGTCTATKTTGAAGCCTTTCGATTACTTCGTTGCTCGTGTTATTTCTTTGGATCTTTCTTGGAAGGTTGTCTTGTATGGGTCGTCCAAGGAGAAGTTCAGCCGGTGTCGGAAATTTGTTGTCTATGGGTGTGGTTCTCAGACAAAGCAGTGCCATGTACGGGTCAGTCTTGGCTTGTTGTGCTTTCTTGAGGGTGGTCTTTACGGTCTTCACTTGTGACTCTATGAATCCGTTGCTTTGCGGAAAATTAGGGGAACTTGTGACGTGTCGAAATCCGTATTCCTCTGCGAAATCTCTGAAGGATTGACCATCGTACTGGGGCCCATTATCAGATCTCACGACTCGGGGAATACCTTGCTCGCTGAAGATCTGTTTCAGGAGTAAGACTACTGTGTTACTGGTGCTTTGTCCCTTTGGTATCTTTGAGTAGTAGTCAGCTATCAGGAGGTAGTCTGACCCGTCGAGTTGGAATAAATATGTTCCAACTGTATGCCATGCTCTAGGTGGAGTTTCGGTTGGGTTTAATGGTTCCTTCCATTGGCTGTCCTGTTACTCCTGGCATGTGACACATGATTTCGATTTCCTTGTTCATACCCCTCCAGTAGACGGAGGCTCTTGCGCGGAGTCTGGTCTTTTCTGTACCTACATTATTCTACATYATTCTATTGAACCTGTATCGTCCGAAGGGAGAATTACAGATAGTTAGATAGCTGTACTCCTTATCTAAGACAATGTTCCAATATCCACATTTGGCATAAACAATGGAGAATATCTTTGCTCCGCTCAGCTTGGGTAGTAACTCCTCCAATGTTGGAGTAACATGGTGTTCTCGTAAGATAGCTCTGTTCAAGTCTTTTGGATCTAGGCTTATTCGTAGCCGCCCGTTGCTCAGTTTACGCCGGTAGACCAAACTATTGGTCCACACTATATTAAGGATTTTCTAATTTGAAGAGAAGTTACAATTTAAGGGGGAAGGGAAGTAATCTGGCTCAACCTCACTTCAACTCTGAATGGATGCATAAGTCGTTCTCCTATATTAGTTATCAGTTGTGGAATAAGCCACCTATTAATGTAAGAAACTGTGGGAGTCTGCCAGAATTCAAGAGGGCTTTAAGAAAATTAAAATTTGAATCGTTATATTAGGCATAGATATAATTATAATCAATGAAAGTGAACGTAACTAGCATCACGCAAAACTTTCAATAATCCAAAACGCTTTTCATGGATCCCCCCTCCTGATAAAATGTATCTGTTAGTGATCATGATTTCATTTGCTTTGCTAAGCCATGCTGTTTAATCTAAAGCTAAGATAAATTTAAAGGGCATTCTAATAAGATTCAGACAAACCACCATGTGCACGACAATAATGAAAAAGTGTTCTCGTCTTTACGCCATATRTTAAGGGATTGTTTCTCAATTGACACGGTTTTCTTTGTTATTCACAAGGCTATATTTTTGTTATCACCCTCATTATAAATGCGATGTCAATATATAGTTAGTTATGTATAGACTTCGCATTTATAATGAGCAACATTTGATAAAAAACCTTCTCAATTGATAAATAAAATACTTAATTACCGCGAACGTCGGCAATAAGCCTATACATGTATATGGCTTATGCCTCCGTTCTCRGTAATTAACTCTTACTTTCTAACGCTCAGCTTTGATCAAAAATAAAATTTATTTGATTCATTATAGTCTATACGTGGTCAAAGTATTTACTGACAAATAGAGGGGTGTGGGTAAAAAGGACATTGCCATGGAAAGTCAGTAAGAAATATAATTTCGCTGATTTTTCTTTTCAGACACGTGTTGCTTCTTTTTCCTGTTTGGGCGTGCAATTGTATAGTTTCTGTAGCTGTAGTTCATTGAGTTCATTAATCTGTGGTATGAGATAAACAAWCCCCCTTTTACATTTAAGTCTACATTTAAAGACAGCTGAATTGCTGTGTCATACCAATAAACTCATTATCCGGGCGATAAGGCATTTTGATACATTTTTGACGCCACTCTAGCTAGTATTTGTCTGATTAATTTCTTCAGTGAAAATGAGGACTTTTTTCGCGGCGGTATTTTCGACGAGATAATATCAAAGAAGAGGAACTAAAGAGTTTTGAAAAAATGAATCCCCATACCAGAGATTTTGGTGATATTGGTCGTCGTTGTGTGAATTAATTATTTGTGAAGAGAGTTGCATCCCAATTATATAATACGAAAACAAAGACGCTCAAAACTGAAAAAAAGTGTACCGTTTTTTTGCTTGATTTTCAAATGTTGTTTACTTAGGTTAGCACACATTTTTACTGAGCTTTTTACCCAATATTTATAAATGGTAAGTTTTTTTCCGGATTTTATGTTCGTCTAACACTTTAATCCTTGAATTGGGCTCTCTGTGCATAAACTTCTTGATTTGCTTACGTTTGGTCGGCATTATCATTTAAGCTGAATCTCTATAATAGCTGTAGTTTCAGTTTCTCTACTTCAAACGACTGATTCATCGAAGCACGTTGCCTAGCTGCAAAGGGCCTATTGACTTCTAAGTCGGTTCCCTTTCAAACCCAGTGTCACATAATAAGGGAAGCACTCTCAAGATTGGCAGTATTTGCTGCACTTAAAAAAAACTGTCATACTAAACTGATTATGTTAACTGTGCGGCGTATAAATCAGTTTAGTGTGACAGTATTATATTGTTATAGCAAATACTACCAAGCTTGTGAGTGATTCCCGTAATTTCCAAACTTAGTAATTGAGTTTAGTACGTAAGTGGAGCGATGTCTGGAACTATACGAATACGTCTCTGTTTTTCTAAACTTATTCATCAATTGATGAGTTCCCAACATGAGTGGAGTGAAATCTGGAGCGGGACTGAAATGTTTTTCTTCCTCTACGCCGCTACTGTTAGATCACTCCAACTCCGACGCAGAAAAATTGAAAAAGCTCAAATTTGAAACATTTCTTGTTTTAACGAGTCTTTGCCATTTTTGTTTGCACCATGCCATACTGTGTGTGCTTTCTTCGTTTATTTTTAACATCTGTAGACTTTGTTGATCTCTGGCTACTTTTCGTGTTGAAACCAGTTATAGTGGACATTTTTTTTGTCGCAAACTAAACTGCAATATACCAACTTTATCACTTTCGATCAAGTACTGATCGAAGGAGGTTGATCTCATCTGAACCCATCAAAATGAAGGTCTTTTTCTTCTGCATTGTTTGTGTTCTGTTCTGTTCTATAACGGAGTCAAACCAAGATAAGTACAAAGAGGTAAGCGTATTGATTCAGTTATTTATCGAAAGGCAACAAGGAAGTCAGTGCAAATAAGGTTTAGCTTTTGAACTAAYAATCTGCGACAGATATTTTGTTATATATCTTACCAAATCTCTTATAAATACCTCTTAGTTGTATATCTATATAATGTCTTAATAATATTGCAAAAACTAACATTTACTTTTTTACAGGACTCTAAATCGGACGTAAWTCAACCAATGAGAGACGAACCTCTTCATAAACGGACGACTTTCGTAAACCCTAAGAAAGGTAAGAGGTAAAATTWAAAAAATCTTATCATAGAGACACAGGGCTGTACATCATTAAAAAACCTTTGTAAAAAAAAAGAAAACTCTAGCCAGCCACCTCCCTGGCCGAGTACATCGATGTTAATAATATTGCATATAATTTATCTGTGCTAAAAAATAGAATAAATAAAAAAAGTGCAGCTCGCCACGGGATATATATCTTCTCCAAGAAACTTTAGTTGCTACTTCTAATTGAATATCTAATAT